CATAAGAGCGAGGAAGCTGCCCGACAGTCACCACCACAGCGAGAGATAGGAAACACAGCAGTGATTTGACAGTCTTCGCCATCTTGGTCGCTCTTCATAGAGTGAGAAATGTAACGAGTTAGTGAATTAAAACAAAGCAATAGTTTTAAATTTATTTCAAGTGAAATTACATTTAATAAAAAATATAGTGAAGATAGTATATTAGTTTCGCTAACGATTAAAAATTAATAGAAAATATTCATTAGTAAATTATTTACCGATCAAATTCTCTCCCCAGTTTCAAAGTAGCGTGCTAATTAAACGAAATGAATCACAGAAAAGAGTAAAGACAAATAAACAAGTAGTTTATGACTCTAAAATGCCCCATGCATTACATGTATCTTACACTGGTGGAAGTCTACCACAAGCATTTATTTGTGGCCTTGAACCTAAGACAATCATTGTATGTTGTTTATTATGCCACGTGCGAAATAACCATAATACATAATACATGATACAAAATCTAACCTAACCTACATTAGGTATAATTTTGTTATTTTGTGAAGATAAACATTTTTTCTGAGAAAATCATCATCAGATCAGCAGAGATGAAAAATTGATTCTTAATTGACACTACAGCCAACCTTACCTCCATTTACTATGGTTATATAGATTACCTTGGTTTAGGTTACGTTAGGTTATTGTTAGTAGAATTAAGTTTTTTGTACATAAAGTCTAACTACGCGATTAATGCCATATTAAAGTTATTTTAATTAATAAACGAAAATAAATTCTCTGTACATTTACTGTCTCCGTCGATAATCATTAAAATGCATAGCAATTATATTTGTTTAATGACATATGATTGTGTTGCTAGCTACAGTGTAAGCTGGTCCTTGCTGATCCTCTTTCATTGTGGTTAAGTGCTATCATTTTTGGTTGTTACTTGGATGGGTGGCTTTCACGAACCACTCCTCTCGCCTCACCAGTAGTAGAGGACTCATCCTAGTGGTTCGATTATTATGGTGTAAAAAGAGCTCAAACAGTTTCGTGTTTTATAGTTTTACTCGGAAAGGAGGATATGAAAAAAAATCCTCATGAAATACTCATGGATGCAACTCATAGTTGTATAACAGTATTTACTGTGTTTAATATGTATGTCCAAAATTTTCTTTGAATACTTTAGAAAACTTTTACAGCAGAATGAAAATGTATGACCCCTTATTTTCACTGTAGGCAACAGTCCGTCGTTTATAAAATCCCTATTGAGGGACTATGGAAGCTGAGTTCTGTATCTCCTCCCTTGTGTGGGAATAGCTCTCAATACATTCCTCTGGTGGCTTTACATCTCCTTCGCTTCCACCAACATCAGGGACACACACATTGTTCATTCTGGCCAGAAGATTCTCAGTGACCAAATTTGCATTGCAATTCATAAAAAAATAATTTAAATGTTCGATCTCAGAGCGGAGGTTGTGGAGCTGGACATGAAGCTTCAGGTAATTTATGTAAGCATACTGGCTGTGACACGCTTCTCTTTCCAGGAAGTTCAGGAAATGCTGGGGAGGATATTTCTGTAGCTCCTCGTAATGAGATTTCTGAATGTCACTCTTGTCCTCTGGAGGGGTAGGGTGAAATAAAACAGCATTAGAAATGGCTGAGTGGCCTTCAGCCTGACTTGAACGAGGTCTGTTTCCGCGTGGTTTGACGTTGACGTTGCCCTCTCTTAGCCATCGATTAATCCACCTGAAGACGGTGGTGACGCTTACACCAGTCTCTCGAGCGATGGCATGGAGGGACTTGCCCTCCTTCCACATTTTCACAAATCCATTTCGTTCAGCTAGGGCTGTGGGCTTTGTCGTCCGTCGACGCTCCATACTAGTCCTGTGTGAGAGCTGTGTTACAGTTAATCTAGTAAAGAGCTGCCAGTCCATTTTCTGTACCACAGGTGGAATAAAATTAGTAAATTTGCAAAAACAATGTTTCTATATTTTTCATAAAAAATATTTATTAATTTGCGAGTGTTGTTATACTGCATTTATAATTGATATGTAAATGAGTTTTATTTTTATAAATTGTTCATGGAGAGACACACGCTCCATAAAATCGGACCCACTGTTTTTTGCTAAAGAAATTATAAAGCTTTTGACAAAGCTAATGAAAAGGCAAAATCCAGCTATTGTAGACCTATGAAAGAAAAATTGCAGGCGGTACAGTAAATACCGACAATGAAAATGAGTAGAGTTGCTCTTACTGAGGTATTGTGTGCCCATTTTTTGGTTCAATACTTGTCCAGGTGATATCTCAAATAGATTTTGATTTAGTAAGTTGAAAAAAGGAAAGGTTAGTGAGCAACTTATATATATATATATATATATATATATATATATATATATATATATATATATATATATATATATATATATATATATATATATATATATAGCAGTACTACCCCTGATATTACACGAAAGCGCTAATACAGCATATATCACGCGCACCTACAGTGATTTATATATATATATATATATATATATATATATATATATATATATATATATATATATATATATATATATATATATATATATATATACACTTATTCCTACAGATGTCTGTAATGTTAAACAGTATTTACTAGAACCTACATTTCCACAATCATCACATGAATCAGGCTTTACTAATATGTGGCTACGAGTATATGAGGCTAAACTTACATGAGGCTAAACATACATGAGGCTAAGTGTAGATGAGGCTACACACACATCAGACTATATGAGGCTAAACTTACATGAAGTGACACATACATCAGACTACAGGTAAATGAGGCTACACTTACATGAGGATACCCGTATATGAGGTTACACTTACTCGAGGCGACACTTTTATAAGAATAAACTTTCAATTAATAAATTAAAGACATTAAATGTTGTTTATGAAACTTTATCATTGACTCATAATACGCGTGAGAGATTAATACAATAGTGATTAGATTAAAATAATTAATTTCGGCCTGTTATAATCTTTTCGAAGGTGTACTGTATATTTGGCTTCGCCTCGTTGAAGATAAAAAAAATCATTCTTTAGGTCTTATAGCAAGATACTGATTTTCAGCTAAGTGGACACAGTATTAACGTCTGTTTACACACATGCACATAATCTAAAAACTATATTGCGATGATTTTTAACCCCTATAATTACTCTTTATCAACATATCATAGAAAACTCGTAAAAAAATATAAGCCCACTGGGGCTACGTCTCAGGTCCTTGTATTTATCAGTGGTATACAATGATGTGTGGTAACATGAGCTAAGTCACTTGTACTGTATTCACTGAAGACACTAGATGATCTTACCTGTAGAAGATACAGTAACGTGGGCTGGATTGAAGGTTCCCTCTGGAGTGTGTTCACCCAGTGAGGTACTAAAGGGAAGTGACGCTGCGTAGAACCGGACAAGGGTTTTGTTAGTCAGTGACTATGAAAGTTGCCAAGTTTGCCTCTAGAAACTGCCAAACGTTTTTCAAAAAGGCCAAATGTAAGGTCAACCACCCTGTGTTGCCACACATTAATTAAGTAATTATATTAAATTTCATAATAATATATAGTGAACAACTGCCTGTGTGCGGTGATTTAAAACCAACAAACTATAATCTTCGAGCTTTATCAATGAAAAAACGTAGATGTAAACTAAGACGCAGTACCAATAAGGATTCCATTGCTAAACAATTTTTCTTTTTTTTTAAAGTCACACAAGTAAACAGATACTGATAATAGGTAGTATATTTAAAAATAATAATACATTAATATTATTAATACGTACTCACCATTTTGCTGTACAGTTAGAAATTAAAAAAATAGAAGGCCACCTTTATCAATTCATAAAAATCTTCACATTCGTCAAATCCTTCCTTCGATGTTCATGGGTCTTCAATAAGCTCTTGAGCGTTAAGTTGTTAAATAAACTTAGCATCTTCTATGGCTTCCAAGGAAAGAATGTTTCTTACTTTTTGTCTTTATTTATGTTATATGAGAAATATTCTCTCAACAAAAGCATTACTTAATGATAATGCATGAGCTTTCAAAAGCATTTGTGCAAGTTCAGAAAAACTTTTGACTCCTGCAGCATTCTCATACTTATGCACAATAACCTAAAAGTTAACTGGAGTTTGTGTTATTTCGTTGTCATCAAATTCTTGTTTCCAGTCCACCACAAGGAGTTTGTCATACTGAAACTGAAGTTGCCAGTTGCAAATGTGTGATCCTACGAGCACTCGTAGGATCATCAGTGAGGTGAGTAAATAGTGCTGCAATACTTGGAAAAGACGCGCATCTCATTCAGGCACTCTTTCGGCTGAAAATTAAAAAAAATTCAATTATGTTAGTGTCCTTGCCTAGCCTTTTCCTCAACAGATTATTACCTTAAGAAGAAAATCGTGGCATTTCTGTTTCATAAATGATTTTTCTTTTCCAGATAATTTTGATTAGGATTTTTCAAGTTAAAATTTTTCTCCAAATCGTACTCTGTTCATGTGAAGTGTAACCACCTCAGAATCACCTTTATACACTCTCTTAACAAGGGAGCTATATAACTGCATCAGCTCAGCAAACTCTTTGGAAGGCACTGCACTAGTAGCTTGAAATGATGCATAAACAGATTCACAATTTTGAATGAGTGGTAAAGAAATGTTAAATACAAGCATTGTGTCAGAATAAAAAAAAAATACATTTCCCTTTACTAGCCACCTTGTATGGCTAGTTGTGATGAACTAGCCACCTTGTATGACTAGTTGTGATGAACTAGCCACCTTGTATGACTAGTTGTGATGAACTAGCCACCTTGTATGGCTAGTTGTGATGAAATAGCCACCTTGTATGACTAGTTGTGATGAACTAGCCACCTTGTATGGTTAATTGTGATGAACTAGCCACCTTGTATGACTAGTGTGATGAACTAGCCACCTTGTATGACTAGTTGTGATGAACTAGCCACATTGTATGACTAGTTGTGATGAACTAGCCACCTTGTATGACTAGTTGTGATGAACTAGCCACCTTGTATGACTAGTTGTGATGAACTAGCCACCTTGTATGACTAGTTGTGATGAACTAGCCACCTTGTATGACTAGTTGTGATGAACTAGCCACCTTGTATGACTAGTTGTGGTGAACTAGAATCCTTGTATGACTAGTTGTGATGAACTAGCCACCTTGTATGACTAGTTGTGATGAACTAGCCACTATGACTAGTTGTGATGAACTAGCCACCTTTGTATGACTAGTGTGATGAACTAGCCACCTTGTATGACTAGTTGTGATGAACTAGCCACCTTGCAGGCTAGTTGTGATGAACTAGCCACCTTGTATGACTAGTTGTGATGAACTAGCCACCTTGTATGGTTAATTGATGAACTAGCCACCTTGTATGACTAGTGTGATGAACTAGCCACCTTGTATGACTAGTTGTGATGAACTAGCCACCTTGTATGACTAGTTGTGATGAACTAGCCACCTTGTATGGCTAGTTGTGATGAACTAGCCACCTTGTATGACTAGTTGTGATGAACTAGCCACCTTGTATGACTAGTTGTGATGAACTAGCCACCTTGTATGGCTAGTTGTGATGAACTAGCCACCTAGCCACCTTGTATGACTAGTTGTGATGAACTAGCCACCTTGCATGGCTAGTTGTGATGAACTAGCCACTAGCCACCTTGTATGACTAGTTGTGATGAACTAGCCACCTTGTATGACTAGTTGTGATGAACTAGCCACCTTGTATGACTAGTTGTGATGAACTAGCCACCTTGTATGACTAGTTGTGGTGAACTAGCCACCTTGTATGACTAGTTGTGATGAACTAGCCACCTTGTATGACTAGTTGTGGTGAACTAGCCACCTTGTATGACTAGTTGTGATGAACTAGCCACCTTGTATGACTAGTTGTGATGAACTAGCCACCTTGTATGGCTAAATGTGATGAATTTTAAACATTGGATGCAGTCATCATTCATTTCTCTGAATATATCCTAAAACTGTTCTCTCCTTAGAGAGCTAAGCTTGAACCAGCGTGCAATCTCAGAAATTAAAAAATCCAGAGTTGAAGGAAGTTTCTTGAAAGCACAGAGCAGGTCTATGGCATGTATAATCTTGGGAACTCTCTCTTTTATTCTTGATAACACCGAATTATTTCTTCCACAAACATTGTTAGCACCATTACTAGAAAATCATATACATTTGCAAATGTCCACACCGATCTTTGCAAAAAAATAAAATAAAAATAATAATAATCATAGCATCATATTAAGCAGCACTGTTGTTGTAGTTACTTGGATTAATGTAAAAAAATCAGTTTTGATGCAATAACGTCTCACTATAAAAACGAACACAAACAAAGGTGATTAGAACCACTAATGTCACTCCTGACTTAATAGAGAATACTTGGTGGTTTTCAGCTCACTAATCAATTCTTTCAAAACTGAAAATTTTTCATAATTGCAGATCATTCTGTTCTGCACACCTTCACATGTGCCAAAATATGTACTTTACTATATTCACTGATTATGTATGTATAGTGGTCAACAGACCTGATGACAAGTAACTCCCACAGCATATTTTATTTCAACATTTTTCACATCATGTTGAAATGAAGAAGGTTTACCCAAAAAAAAATCTTAATGTCGGACTTCAATAGAGCTTCAGTAGTTAGTAGCTTTTTTGTGCTTATCAGTTCCTTCTTGCAGAATAAAAGTTTTTTTCATAGTACTAATTATACATTAGCAAAGTTTATAATAGCAAACTCCACCTCTGTTAGTAGTTGTACTACTCCCGTAACAGTATCACTGAGCTATTCCATTTACCCATATAGGCACGAAGAATTTAGTCAATAGTTTGAGATCTTTGGTTAGAAACAAATAACACAATATTACCAGATGAGACATGACTGACTGTGTCATGATGATGTATTAGCCTCTGTCAAACAGACAGTAATACTTATATAAATATCGGCTATATACATTATGTTTATATAATTAAATCACCCAAGGTAAGTGGACTATAAGCAGTGTGTAGTTATAATTGTACATGTGACAATGGTCACGTAGCCAGGTGTTTTTCATTTGACATCCATGCCCCATTACAGTAGATGCATAGGTCATCGCCAAGTAGCTGGCTTCTCGCCAGCTCACATCGGTATCTTCTACACAACAGACGTGTGGTTACTGGGCTCGTCATTAGCTCTTAATACTCACTCCTGTGCTACAAACTCGTACTCTAGTTACGGTGACTTTATAAACATACTGAGCACAATCAATTATCCTAATATAACCAGAAAAGGAATTTGTGTTTGTGTGCGCATAATCTATATATATATAAAACAAAGAAGTATGTCTGTGTGTGTGTTTGTTTGTGTGTATGTGTGTCCGCACGAGAATCTGGGAAACTACTTTACCGATCTGTAGTGATGATGGATGGTGTTATATGTAGTGATGATGATGGATGGTGTTATATGTAGTGATAATGGATGATGTTATTTGTAGTGATGATGGATGGTGTTATATGTAGTGATGATGGATGGTGTTGTATGTAGTGATGATGGATGGTGTTATATGTAGTGATGATGATGGATGGTGTTATATGTAGTGATAATGGATGATGTTATTTGTAGTGATGATGGATGGTGTTATATGTAGTGATGATGGATGGTGTTGTATGTAGTGATGATGGATGGTGTTATATGTAGTGATGATGGATGGTGTTATATGTAGTGATGATGGATAATGATATATGTAGTGATGATGGATGGTGTTATATGTAGTGATGATGGGTGGTGTTATATGTAGTGATGATGGATGGTGTTATATGTAGTGATGATTAGATAATAAAATAATAACAGTTTAATGATAAAAAAATATACTTTGCTGTACCGTTGTAGTGACAAACATGGTGGAACTTACATACACCGTTAATGGAAGAAGAAGTTTTGGGGACTGAACAGTGAGACAATGTGGAGCCTCCCGGAAGGTGGCGTCCTACAGTGGCTTAGCAAATGAGCCGCCCGGAGCGAACAGCGGACAGTTGGTCACAGGAAACAGATCAGGAAAGGGAATCCCGTCTTAATGCTAACATAAAACGAACAGCGGACAGTCGGTCACAGGAAACAGATCAGGAAAGGGAATCCCGTCTTAATGCTAACAGAAAGCGAACAGCGGACAGTCGGTCATAGGAAACAGATCAGGAAAGGGAATCACGTCTTACTGCTGACAGATACCAAACAGCAGAAAGGCCTTCTCTAGAAAATGATCAAGCGCATGAAATTCGTTTGAATGCTAATAGACAGGAAGCTACGGGATCCAGAATTCTAAGAAAGAATACACAGTGGCATCCACTTGCAAGAGCAGCATTTACCTCTGACATTGAGATAGAATATGAAAAGTATCCCTCTGTAGTCATTGGCAGCATGGATAAGAAATGTGAACATTGCGGTGCAAAGAAGTATAAAGGAGAAT